GTGAAACGGCGAAAAACTGCAGTACCCCAAAAAGTCAATAAAAGACACTTTAAAAGCCCCCACAGGTCATCAATTTAGAGATACCCCAAAATACTGGCCCTAGAATTATTGCTCTCACTCCGGCGTGCGCGGCGATACCCAACATGTGTAGCGCGTTCGTCGTTTTCATGCGTAGGCGCACCCGACGCGTGTTTACGTGGCGACGCGCGTGCTCGCGGGGGCGGGGTACTTTTAAATTTTTTTTTTATTATTATTAGATTTATTTTATTTCATTTTAATTTTAAATTCTGTTTTTTTACTTTACTTTGACTGCTATCACAAGGGGGGGGCTTGCAAGCCCCCCCATGTAATAGCAGATGGTGGTGACAGGTCCTCTTTAAGGTGATGCTGGGGGTCCAAAAGACCCTCAGTGTCACCTTTACACTAGAAATGAGCTATTGAAGTGCAGATCGCACTTCAATAGCTTAGACCTGGGCTGCAGGAGCCCAGAACTGACAGCCCAGGGACCGGAAGTGATGCAATCTGCATCGCTCCCGGTCCCATAGAACGGGGAGGGGATCGATGAACGGACCTTCTTCGGGACGCAGAAGCGATCTGGCGACAGGTAAGTCGCCAGGATCGCTTCTGTTGTAAAGCCGACAGTCGGCTCTACAAGTTTAAACAGACTCCCGGCGGCAAAAGTCGCCGTGAGTCTGTTTAAACAGCCCCGATGCTGGCGACGTACATTGTACGTCGTCAGTCACGAAGGGGTTAAGTTCTGAAACAATCCCTTTTTGTTTTTTTGTTAACTTATTCTAATAAATGTTTGACATTGTGACGATTGACCCAAGTGAGACATCTGATTAATTAAAATATTCTGATCAAACAGTCGATCACATGAAAATGTATATGTCTAAGAACAGCATAAGATTAGTCGGTCTGTAGTGTCTATGGTGATAGGTTAGCCATCAGAATTGACATTGAATCCAACCAAAATCCCTCAAATCAGTTAATTATCATATAGAGCAGGGCAGAAAGATTCTCAAGGGTCAAATAACAGAAGGAAAAAAATACATAAATGGATTCAAAGTCTTCTAAGTTTTACCAGTGCAACAGCATTGCAAATGTCTAGGAAAATATGGCATGCCATATAGGAGACTGATACCATATGGAAAAATGTAGTTTAGCCTTATTATGTTTGTTCTTTTGGAGATGGAGGGTGAAATATTACAAGCTCAGGGCACAGACGTCACCAGCTTAACCCCTGTCTTCCTTGCCACATGGAAAGGCAAAGCATGGAATTTTTCATGGCAGTATGTTAACAGTTTTCCACCAATATTTTTTTTTTTTTGGAAACGCAAAAAATAACTGACCACCAAAAACTGATGTTTGAAAGCCAACTTCTGGCAGAATGTTTTTTTTTTTAGTCTTGGATAGAAAAGAGAAGAGTTAGAAAATGTAAAATTATATTGTTGTCTTTGTCTCTTTTAGGTGGATTATTCTTCAACTCCTGTCCCATTATTAAAGCAGAACTCCAGGCAGACCGCTAAATACAAATGTAGGAGCTGTTTTACCTGCCGGAGGATTTGTATTTTTGTATATACAGTTCTGAAATTTACACCGGTCTGCCCAGACCTCTCTGGCAGGACAGGAGACCTGATTTTTCTTTTCTGTAGTAAAGTAACAGTTACAAGTCTTGTCCCTCCCCCAGCCTGTGGCTGAACAATTAAAGATGACACAACACACTGATCTCGTCTTCCTTTCAGTCTGCTCTTTCCGCCTATCATCATGCTCCTTTATGGCATATAAACTGATTAGCTCCTTGTGATGCCCCTCCTTCACAATCTGAGCCCTGCTGTAAAATGACTGCAACAGGCTGATATCATTTTTAAATTCAGGCAATTACACTGCTTAAATAAAATTAAAAATAGATTTAAATATGTATTAATCAATACAGAGCTGCACTGATTTTGTGATTTGTATATGTGCCTGGAGTTCAGCTTTAAGACATTATGGGAAATTTCTCTCATGGAAATCTTAGCTTTTTTAAAGGTAGTAGAAAATGGTTAGAACCTCTGTCTGGTTTTAATTGCTATTTGTGCCTTCCTATCCTGCTAACCCCTCGTGTCTTGGTGTCATAGGGATAGAAAGTGAGGGGAAATCTCCACAACACAGTCCCACATATAAATAAAAATCAGTACAAATGTTTTAGCTATCCAAAACCAATAAAAAATGTTGGGTGGTGTTATGCTCTCATTTGTGGGTAGATACTGGCAGAGGGAATCACCCACCAGCTTCCTGTATCTTTTGGGGACTCCAGCCTGTATCTGAATCTGCATCTTCTGTAGCAACAGGAGTCCTCTTAAGATTCCTCCAAACAGCACTGATATGTGGTTACTATGGGCAACACATGGTTTGCATTCACTACAACTAAAAAAGTTCCCATATCATAGAGTACAGAATTGAGCGAGCTGGCCCAGAAGTGAACACACATTATATCACTGTATTGGCTTATGGGGGAGTGTGAATCATGTCATTGTGTTGGCCTTTGCCTTCCAAGAATGAAGTCATGACATTGGCTGTTGGATTAAAACCATAATAATGTTGGCGCGTTGTGATGAAATTATGTTGGCATCGTATTGGCGTGAGGACCATTCACCACAAGTGTGATGGCATAATACTGGCACTTGGGACTGGACACCTGGTGTCATAATATTGGCAAAGAATGCAGAAAAAAGTCCAGCCAATGAGAGATGTTCACCTTAAAAATGTAAAATGTTATATATATATATATATATTACTGTATATTGTGGTGTTCACTAAGGGGTTTGTTTAAAAATGTTCAGTTTGCACACAAGCCCCATTCTGTTTAACCAGCAGCTGCTATTTAGGGACACGCTTAGCTTCAGAGAAATGTTGGCAACTCATGAATGTAGCAAACATTACAGTCACCCACATTTTTGCCACTCTGAACTGGCAAACTCTATTCTATGTATACCTACTTTGCTCTTTTGTCCAAGTGCACATCTGCCACAGATTCCTCGTACATTCACTCAGCCACCTGCATAATTCACTGGTCAGCAAATTGGGAAAATGCAGTGAATGTCAGCCAATCCAGGCAGGGACAAAAACACTGCAGCTGAGCTCAAGTCTCAAAATCAGTTCTGTTGCCTTAATTTGACTTCCATGTTATCCTCTGCAAAGAGCCTGCAGTGAATGTGTTTGGCAACTCACTGCATTACATACAGGTAATGGGCGTTCCCACCAGAGCGGCAGCAAAACAGACCTTTGTGCACTATTACACCACAGCAGTGCCCGAGTGAAGACCTGAAGTCCTGAGCAGAAATTACATTAATTTTTTTTAAATCTTTATTACCCTTAGGGAATAGTCTTCCTGACACACAACACTTTTATGGTTATATTAATATAAAAAAATGGCTGCAAGGCTGTCCCTGTAAAACAAAAGAGTAAATGCTCACTGGTCTTGCAGCCCACTCTGGAGAACGCTGCACCGATGAAAATTAACCTTCCTCTAAAGTCTGCTGATATACTGACCCATTCGGAAATGTTGATCTCCTATTTCCCCTGTGAGTGGGGTGGAAAATGACGGGGAAACAACTGAGCACAGTGGGGGACAAAGCATAGGATTCTTAGCAGATTTAAAGCATACTTCCAGATTTTCAGTCAAATTTGAGTAAACCGCTCAGTGTGTTTGTCATGCGTTTCCATTCACACCAACATAACAAATAATAATTTAAAACAATATATATTTCTTACCTTTTAGATGCTTTGTTGCAGCAGGCAACATGGCTGAATCTAGTTTTTTTTCTGAGCACCTTCACAGTGATGTGCCCTTAGAGAAAGGCATAGGACTGAAATTTTAAAATTGTGTTTCTCTCGTTAACTTCATTAATATTTAAATGCAGAAACCAGGCTTTGTTAGGACAGGCAGTATACAAATCTACCTTTGCAAAAAGGGGTAATTTCGAGGATTTGCATACTGTCCTGATATTTTTATTTGCTATGATTTATAAATGGAAGTAAGAGAAACAGGCCTTCTCAAAACCTTTTACTTTTATATAGTATAAAATGTAAAAAAAAAAGGTGTTATTACATCCCACTAAAAGAAACCTTTATTTGTCCCAAAAAATTATCTAAAATGAATTTTGTTACAGTGTTGCATGTCAGAGAAATTCTGCACAGCGCTGAAAACTGAAAAATGGCCTGGTAGTGAAGGGGTTGTAACATGCCGGTACTGAAGTGGTTAAAGAGAATCAGGAATGGGCATTTGTAATATTCAGAATGTCCAGATTTAAATTGTTATAGTGGCTCAGATGAACCTCTCAGGGCCGCGTGTGTATGCTGTTTTTCACTTGTATACTCCCCCAGAGTATAGTGTGCAGAAATATTACCTCAGAGTCCGTCTGTAAAGGTGCCCATACACCTATTGATTATCGTTCTGAAATCGTCCACGAATGGTCTTTCGAACAATAATCGATCACTTGATTTCCAATATTACATCCACTTCACTTCCTACATATAGGAATAGCTCAGCCATATATCCCTTAAATAGGAATTGACACATTACAAACCCCTCATTATATTGAGTTAAGTGAAGCAAATTGTTGAAAAGAGAGAACAACACAATGAAGGAATTAGTCATCTAGTCTACTCGGTGCTAATCTGGGCTTTAACCTTTCTCAGGATGCTGGATGGAGAGGTCAGCAATTGTTAAAAGGAGTCCTGTAGATTTGATTGCTGGCTGCTACCTGGTGTTTTACTCTGAATAACCCGATAATGGAGCTGATGTCTCGTTAGAAAAGATTTTTTTTTTTTGCCCCGCTATAGAAAACTTCTAAGAAGGCAATACCATAACTGTTTCTGGACTGCTGAGGAGTTTTATGGGCCGATTACACAACATCCGTTTTTTATGGTGCTGTTTTATTAAAGAAATATCATAAAACTCAATGTTTTGCAGACACTTAAAAATGTATACGATTCCCCTGTGTGCTTCATTTTAGAAAGTGCGAAATTACAAAACCCAAGTCGCAAGCAGTCCGTGTCCAGAAGTCTGAAGCATCTTTTCCACTCATCAAACAAATTTGTGAAGACATTAAAAAGGTGGGTCACGTCTGCACTTGCAAAATTAAATCTGGCTTGTTACTGTAAAATTGCATTTATTTTTCTTTGCTTGCTTGATGGAAATATATTGTTGTTTTTTTCTCATTAATAGCCATGCAATGAGAAAATATTTGTGAGCACACTTGGCTGGGCTTTTAATCAGAGTTTTAATATACTTCCCGGCATCGAGTCGGCCAAACCGCATGGAGACGGCTAATTGCTACTGCGCATGCACAAGATAATGACACGTCACCTGGCTCCCTGATTGCCTGGGAAGCCGGCTCTATGCTATCGGACGTACCGGTATCTGTACTCAGTATCGGCCAGTACCAAAATATTAATATCGGTACTCGTACTCCATACCGAAAAACCGGTATCGGTGCATCCCTACCCTAGACGCTGCTAAACATCTAGGTGTGCATTCAACCATTACAAGGCATTAAATGCATTCAGTATGTATTTTAATTCTTGTGTGCATGGGGCCTAAGGCTGATTGAACAGCAGCTAAAGTAAAACTCCAACCGATTCCTGTTTTTTGATTGTAGTCATTTCCTGTCTTGATGAGAGATGGCCACTCCCCAGTGGTGGCAAAGACAGCAGTAACTCTTCCCTATTCTATTGAATAATAAGCAAGCATTTACCGTTAAAGTATATTTCCACTTTTGCAGCCAAATTGGTATAACACTATTTTATATTTGTTGAATGTTCTAATTCTTCCATAGCTTGAAAATATGTTAAACAAATTGCTGCTTACCTATTGCTTTTTCCTGAAAGAAAAGCTTTTCTCTAAACTGAATGTTCATCTCAAATACATGGGGGTGGGAAGCTAATGTTGAACATGAATCACCCTGACTGTACATTGCTAGAATATGTCATTATCACTTGTAAATTAAATTTGAGCAATGTCTGCCCTAACAACGGTTTAAAGATCTAGAAGCAGTTTATGCTATGAGGAGAAGCTCAGTCTGTCCCTAGTCTTTCTGTAGGGACAGACAGCCAGAGTTTCCTGTCTCTTTGAAATTGTACAGGGAAGCTCCAACGGCCTGCTACACAGACACGCCTAAAAAGGTAAGAAATATTATATTTCTATAATAATTTTTAGGCATTCTGTGCGAATGGAATTACATAACAAAGATATGCAGCAGGGTTTTCTCAAATTTCTCTGCAAAAGTGGAAATTAAAGGAGAACTATGAGGTGAGGGAAAATCACTCATCCTCATAGTTCGAGCCCCCATGTGACAATTAAACTGTCATGTCAGCTCAATAGATTGGGAAGTGAGTGAACTTATACCGCCGCTCGCTCACTTTCCGCTCATCTCCCTAAAGAGAGCACTAAAATGTCAGTCACGGCTCCCTGCAGGGATTTCCCCGCTCCGATTCTCCAGTGCTTACTGGAGGAATGGACGGAGGAGGGGGCGGGTACAGCTGGCTCTGGCTCTAGATAGGCATAGCCAGCTGCCACTCACGCAGCTGGGTGGATCTCGACAGCATTGTCGGGATCCGTCCCGGCTGCGGTGGTCTCGGTATACCGCGAGCTGTGGCTCACGCTATACTGAGCTTTGGGTCACGGGAGGAGGTTAGTATATGTCGTCCCGTGACCCTAAAGAGAACTATGGGGAAAAACACTTACCCCATAGTTCTCTTTTAAGCTAATCACATGCCTTGATTTATTTCTGACCACTAGAGGGATCATTTACAATAATATACAAAATCAAATTTGAATAAGAATTTACATCTTGGTGGTTTTGTGTTATTTGGATAAGAAGGAAAAAAAGACCATAGTATTTTGGGCCATACCTCTACATGAAAATAAAAGACTCAAAGGAGTTGATTTACTAATCTTATAAACACACCACGAACAAGTATACACCTCTGTAGTGTGTTCCCTCCCAGCATGATCTATGGGTGGAATCTAGACACCTTTGTAGTGGGTACACACCCAGCAGGTGTGTTGTGCAAAGCCCTCCATGAATTGCAAGGTGATGTTGTGTAAATTAGCTCTATGTTGTGTTGCTTGCGTTGATGAATGCAGGAATGTAAATGCATGAGCTAACCATTTTTGTCTAAACTGTGAAGCAGCATTATATATGCATCATGTGCATGATTTTTCCATATATGGCATTAGTGGAAATATGCTTTTAGAGACTTTTTGGTTGATAAATACGTTTTGCTGTGTAAAAATCACACGCACCTAGTGCGTGCGTGTGTTTAGGTTAGTAAATCACCCCCAAAGACTCAAAGATTTATTTGTTATCAGTTGCAAATAAGTGGATCTCATGTTGGCCTTGCCAACCTTAGAAGTCGCCGCTAGCCTTTCTGAGGTGTGAGTCAATTGGACTGGTCGGAATTTCTCAGACAATCTATTGTTTTTCGAGAATGTACGTTTGTACAATTGTATCTTTTGTAAGAATGCTCAGCAGCTGAATAGAGTTCAGATGTCATCTGTAGAATCAAATAGGCTAGCATATTTATATACCTGCCAATCAGAAGCATTGAATGCCAAGAAGAGGACAAAAATAACAATAATATTGCCATGAGTATGCCAGTTTAATGTATATTTGTCAATCGAGTTCTTATGACTATTTTCCTTTTGCAGAGGTCTGTATATAGCTGTGATATTTCACTACAAAGATAACATGTTAGTGACCAATGAAGATCACATTCCAATAGTGGAAATCGATGATTCTTGTACCAGTTCAATTATGCAAGATTTTGTCTGGTTTACAAAGGTAAATTGCTCTTCTTTTACAAATTTTCTGTTCTAAATCCAAGTGTAATGTTGTATCTGGTTCATCCCTATTAATTGTACTAATAATGATCAACCATTCTTGTATTAAAATTGATGCCACTTTTCTAGTTTTCTCCTACAGCTTTGTGAAGTAATACATTACTTTATTGACATTACCTGTATTATGTTTTGGAGAGACCAGCCATGTCCACCTTATGGTGCTAACCACAATGCAACATGTGTAGTGGTTCTACATCATTGTGTTTGGTCAGCGCTGAAATAACGTTTAAACATATTTTGAAATATTGCATATTAATATAGCATTTTTTTAAATTCTTTATTGAAATCTTGTATAAAAACATACAATATAGATCATAAAAAAAGTTTACATATCGTTATCTTAGCACATATAACCGAAATAATTATTTTTAATATAGTCTCTTTTTGAGCAAGCAGGTGAAGCTTTAGGCTCCTCTTCACATTTGTATCTACTTACAGCATGTTGAAAAAAGACTTTAGTTTACAGGCTTCATAGCTTAAGCTGCAATTTACACACAGAAGTGAGGGACTGATCAGAGCACCTCATGCCTTGGTTTGATTCAGACCAAAATTACTTTCAGACAAAGGGAACCACAATCCAGGCAACTGCTGCGCTAATCCATACTGCTCTAGGAATCCATTTTAATGTATGAAATGTTGAACATAACCATTACAGCTTAATTTTGGCACATTTATAAAGCATAGCTGTGTGCTTTACAAGCGTGTTTTGCGTACCGCTTGCTTTGGAAATACCATTGATAGCAGAGTACTTAAATTAAATGAGGAAAACAAAAAATTGCTGGGAGGAGAGAGTCTGGATATGTGACCTGTCACTCGTATGACTGGCTCTCCTCAAAACTCTGTAAGACACCAGAGACTTTCCACCATGGACTGCATTTTATGAAAGGGCTGTTAAATGCAGGCTGTGATATGCAGGCGTATAACATGAGTACATTCTCTGATATAAACAGGCCTTTCGGTTTATTATTTGCTGGTCTCGTAATGTCATCAATATATCTCCTCCCCGGGTTTGGCTCTCTGGTGATGAAACCAGGAAGTAATCTTTCTTTAGGTAGACCAAGAATATTGATATTGACATCTCCAAGGTATACTTATGTGAGAGAGAATGCAGGCCAGCCAACTATGGAGAAGACCATGCCCATGGGAGCAACTTTAACATGTAGTTAAAGTAAACCTTTTTTGCCCAAAAAGTTTATAACCTAAACTATATAATACGCATCACAAGGTACCAGATTTCTCCTTCAGCTCTGGAAGAGCTTGACGTTTGGAAGACCTTTTATAAGTCTCTAATATGACTCTCATGTTGGTAAATGACAGGAGTGGGGTTTTTTTTCCCAGGAGGGCAGAAGTTCTGTGTAGAACAGGAGGGGCTTCCAGAGAGATGTACACAAATTGATCCGGATGGGTATTTGCAAGAGCAAGGTTAGGATGGGAACTTGCAGGGGCCACCAAGTCCCTGCATGTTAACAGTATCGTTAGTTTGGGAAAACTGCTGTACCTTGTTCTCTTTAATTGTTGTTTTGCTATAATTTTAGTTCTTCTTTTGAACTGTGGCATATTTACCATGCAGCTGTCCTATATGTGGGATGACATCAGGTGGGTGCGGCAGAGTATGTCAATCTCTATGTCCTCATCCACTGCCTTACAGGCCCGACAGAAGATGTTGGCAGCAGCTGCTCAACTTCAGGTTTGTATAATTTGAATGTAAACTTATTTCCTTTAACAGCCGACTTTAAATCTTGTTCTGGAAAGCAATTTTGTTCAAGTGCAAAGCAATTTTCCTCTATGAATGGGAAGAATTTTTTTTACCTGTCATCCACTATTGCTGGCATATGTCACACGGGCCTTTTGGGTGCAATTTGTAGAAGGCCTTGCAAAAGGGAAGGTGGTTTGTTGAGAATCCAAAGGGCTGTACTTCATGCTATACAATGTGTTTGAGTCATTTATGAGAGTGACTCTTTAAGAGGGTCACCTAGATTATTATGTTTCAATAGCAATTAAAATTTGGACTAATTAGAAAATAGGATATTGTTAGAGAAGGTTTTTTTGTGTGTGGTTTATTTTCTAAATCCTTAGAATGATGATGATCATGTGTGTTATAATGTTTTTACTGATGTGATTAATTAATATGGAAGTAATAGGTTTTGTATGACGAGGTTTAAAAGGATGTCTCCTTTTCAAGAGATTTTTCTTTCAGTTTAAATTCTGTGTCCTCACAGTGTAGTTTTCCCATATTTGTCCTCTTATCTCTGACATCCTTGACCTGGATAAGAATTGAGGGGAAATCTCCCTCATGGGGACACTCACACAGCAATAAATCTAGCTAAAAAGTTATTTTTTCTCACTGGTGACGTGAAAGAATTTGAGACATGGACCATGAACGCTGGCAGTGGCAGAGCGGCCAATACATGACACCTTTACATTTTGTTCCTAAAGTTCAGTAAAACTTTCTAGGTGTTCTTTTCACAAAGCTCTAATTGATTTAATGCATATACAGTCATTGCTATATAATCCCTTTTTATTTTACATTAAAAATTACCTTTTTGCTCCATTTGCACTGAGCCATATTTTCTATTAATTATACATTTCTCTTCCTTGTAACCATGGCAATAGTGTTCAGTTTGTAGATGACCCTGGGAATTTTTTTTAATGCTCTTTATGTATTGGTCACTTTGTCTTTGCTCTATCTTATTTCCTTTATTTTGATACCTATACATATGTATAAGGTCTCCCTCTAGTGGATGTTTGTGTTTCACGCTCAGCTCAGCCAACAATGATAAAATAAACAACTTGGCCACACAGAGAGTGCATTGTTTTCACTCAGTTACCTGACTAGCAGGCTTGGATTGTGAGAGAAGAACAGTTAGGGTGCCGATATTTTTGCAGTAAGATGCTCATTCTGTCCATCCTCAGATACCAGTGTCGCCAGATGTGCTAACAAACATGAAAGCTGGGCTCAGTCCTGAGTTTTGACTGTTGTTATGGAGAGGGACGGGGAGGAGATGAGCGGTCATCAGAACAGGTCTTTTTTTGCTGGTGTTTTTCCCGCCTTATCAATTGTTCCTGGTGACATTGAACATATATATGGTGATCGGTCACAGGTCTCAAAGACATGAGATGGTCCTCTTAAAGCTGATTATTTAGTTATATTTATATATCTGAAGCCCAGTTATTTTGTGAAATATTATTTATTGAGTGTGTGTAGGGCTGCAAGTAAATGTTGCTGACTACTGCCTGTGAAAGCTTAAGTTCGCTAGAACAATGCAGCTACCTGATTTTTTATTTACAAAGCATGTACTGGGGGTTATGTAGTGGGCGGAGCATGTTTTCTTTGGACCTTTCCCACCGGCCAGCACCGTTCTTACCAGGGCCCGATTTCTCACAAGGCCTATCAAGACCAGGCCTCGAGGCGGCAGGGGTGTGGAATTCCTATGGCCCGAGACATGCAGTTCTGGGCGCCGGGCGGGCAGTTGTTTTCTACATTTAGCCCTGCTTGTAGAGCGGGGAAGCCGCTCGTTCGTTTACAAGTGGTCTCGGCGATGTCGCAAAATCACTTGTATGCAGCCTGCTCGTCCGTCCTAAAAAGACAAAAGTAAAATATATTAATTAAAATCAAACGGTAAAAAATAAGACAAAAAAAGAAAAAAATAATAATACATTCAAAAAGTTAAAAATAATAAGATAAATAAAAATTTTAAAAAGTAAAAAAATAAATACAAATTTAAAAAAGTAATAACAAAAAAATAACACTAACCCTGGCACCCCCGCAGCTGCCAGGAGAGCAGAGAGCATAAATCCGGCCCTGGTTATTACTGCTCTGTAGCCTGATAACTTGACAAAAGCAGGAATTAGAGCCACCAATAGGTAAAGATAAAACATGAGGAATCATTTCAAAAGGCTAGTCTTCCTAAATTACATAATGTTTTCTTGATGGCTAGAGTTTCATGTTAAGGCTAGCCATTGAATGGAAAATATCTGCCCAAGAATGATAAGCACCAAGACACACGTCCATCTCTAGTGTCAGGGCCTGCTGCTGTTAATTGCCTGACAGAGCATGCAGAGCATGTGTGGATAACACCGTCTTTTCTTTTTTGAGAAGATAGGAGATTGTTCCAGTCGCACAGTTTTACAACAATATCGCCCCAAGTGACGGGGGCCCTGAAGGGCCGGATCACTGGACCATTTTAAGGCACAACCATTGTGTAGCACTACTAAGAAGGAAGTATATGGCATATGGCTGACCAAATTTCATTCCTGTTTACAGTCTATACACCAGAACCAGCTTTATAAAACATTACCAGAGATTATTTACATTACCTGGATCACTGTATATCTGACAAAATATTAAAACAATTATTTACTTTGTACACGTTGCTATAGTAAAGGTTTTTTTTTTTAATTCTATTTATATATTTAAGTTTTTGGTATTTCGTCCTTTAAACTAAGCCATCCAACAAGCCAAGGGGAAGCCTGTGTTCTTACAAACTCTGCTCCTCAATCAGAGGCCAGATTGTTTTATTAAAGTTGCAGAATGTTGTAAACAATGGTCCACTTTCCTAAATATAGGTTGATTTCTATTTATAGGGGAGGGTTTGTGGACCAGTGGCTCTCCCCATCTGAGCACAGAAAATACTCAATATTTCTTCAGAGACCTGTCTCCACTCTGATCTGCCAATCTGAATTAACATGTCAACTCAACATGTTTACCTTCGATTGGCCAGAGTTTATTATTGCATTAGTGATTGTGATATTTTGAGACTCCTGATGCTGTTTTGCCTCAGCGGAGACTTTCAATGAGACCGATTCATAGCTCGTTTCAGACACGGGACTGTTGCTTATTTATGTCCATTCCAATGAGCAATTTAATTGGGCTCCAGCTGAAAGACGGGGAATAATTAGCTATATAGGCTGTGGGCGGCTTGAATAGTGAGATGGGTTATCTGCCAAGTGTGCCTCACTCACGTGTTTGTTTTTTGCATTTGGGGTAATTTAAATATGATAAGAGTATACAGTTATGAGATCTAGATTAGAAGATTGTGGTTAAGTCAATAGCCGCTGTGTTTGTATTTGCTAAACGCGTGTCGCATATCAGAATCATCGTGGGCCCCCTGGTTCTCTGAACTATAAGTTAAAGGGAAACTGTGGTGTATTGTTAGTGGTATACATTTTGAATTCTTATTGTATCATGCACTGGAAACTAAGTTTTATTATGTCTTTCTTATTTTTTTTCATGTGTACTGTTCCATGTTGTCATAATCATATCACCTATACAGAATTGCGGATCCTTCATCTAGGGGCTGTATGTCAGGTGGTGTATTTGAAATGTCTTCTGAACTAGGGCTGCAACTAATGATTATTTTCATAATCGATTAGTTGCCCGATTATTTTTTCGATCGTATAAAAAAAAGATTACTAAATACCAACTTTAAAATAAAATACACAAATGCAGTGTTATAAACAAAGCTTACTTCAGAATAAAACTGCATGCACAATTTTTTGCAATCGCACTGCACTGGAACGCACAGCATTGGGGTACCGTGAGTTCCAGTGCGGGCGATCACACTGCGGGTGGGAGGCGCATTTGGGGTGCCATTGAAATGAATGGCACTGCAACGCACCCCCCGAAGCAGAATGTCAGGCCGAAACCGAAAATTACTTTTTTCCCACCTTTTTATAATCTCGTTTTTAATAATTGTATAACATCAGCTGAGAAATGACAGCTGCCAGTGGCAAGATTCCGCAGATGGCAGCTGAATTCAAATACAGCAGGTAGTGGGCTTGTGCAATAGCCAGCTTGCTGCTGGCTATTTCAAATTGCAATAGCAGGCTGGCTATTGCACCCACCCACTGCTTGCTGTGCCCTCCACCCAGCGTGTAGGAGACAGCTAGGGGATCCAACCAACTAATCAATAATAGTTGACGACTATTCTCATCGATTAGTTGGTTACAGCCCTATTCTGAACTGCTTCCACGATCACACGATGATCTTAAAGTAGAACTTTAGTTATAATCTGGAGGATGAGCAGCTCCCAGTCAGACTGTTACCAGCCTGTATAGACTTCAGGGAAAAAATATTTGCATTGCAGTGTACTGCGGTAATTAAAATGAGTGGGCTACCCTAAAACAATGCGTGATACAACACATGCTTATGTGTATGTGTTAACACAATGCACAGGAACGGAGAAGTGTGAATGGGCCCTCAGTCCTGAGAAAGACTTCAAGGGAAGTCTTGAACTGTCCCTCAAAACACCAGTCAACAAACTCTTTTGACCCACTGGGGCTCTAAGTACCACAATCTATGTGCAATTTACCTATTTGATGAGGGCAGGTAGGTTTCATCACCTTCAACAGAGCAACAAAACACCCAACACTCTGTTTTAACAGCCTATTTACCAATGTAAGTTAAACAATTAAAAAGCTGTTTACAGTGGTCTTTCATCTTCATCTGTTCTGCTTCAAATACCCTGACAAGCAATAAAAATGGGATAGCAAAATGTCAGTTTAGGAGCAATTTAGTATTAAATAGGAAATGGAATTTTGGGAGATTCCCACAATTCCTTCTATACCACGTTCAACAGAAAATGATAATTTCTTGTGTTTATTTTGTTTTCTTTGTAACCACAATGATTACTAGCAACTAAGTAAATGCAAACCTGTACTGCAAAATGAGAGTTGGAGTATAAAAATCTGAAGTCATTACTATGGGGTAATGCAAACAGTTCCTTTTTCAGACACTTCAATAACTGAGTGATTTACCATGCAGTGAAATAACGCCTGAGATCTTTGTTTTTCATTTTGCAGAACTTGCTTGGCACTCACAACTTAGGCCGGGTATATTACGAGCCCATAAAGGACAAACACGGCAATGTCTTGATTGTCACCATTCGAGAAGTCGAGACCTTGTATTCTTTTTTCAATGGCAAATGGATGCAAATCTCAAAACTGCAAAGCCAGAGGAAATCCCTGTCAACTCCCGAGGAACCATCAGCCCTGGACATCTTACTCATAACCATCCAGGTAATGCCATAATTTGGTGTGAACTAATCCCCTCAGCACACGCCAGTGGAAAAGCAGTACGGCATGCCCAGGACTCGAAGAAATTAATTGCATTGTGAGACCAGACATGACATCCGCTTCGATTAAACAAACGTCTTTCTCTTATGTTCTCCATGAAACCCACACAAAAGCTTGATTTAATATCTTCTAGTTGGGAGCCTTTCAAAATAGCTGATGTAATGCCGTTGATGACTTCTAACTTAATAAACACGCATATAGGAGGCTGTAATGTTTGAACATAGCAGTCTGGAGTTCTCCATGATGATGGAAGAGTTTCAGCCATGGCGCTATACATACTGCCGACTTTTCAAACACAGCCTTCCCTGGAACTTTAAAATAAATAGAAATATCTCAGAAATATATTTAACATCTAGAATTAATCATCTGTCTTGCTGTAAAGGATATGTTTTCACAGCTATATAATATATCAGACAGATGGATATTAGTGTCAACTAGTAAATGATGTAGAGTGATTACTGTAGTACATACATGTTGTGGGGAGACTCGTATTGAAGATACATACATAATACTAGATTACATCTGTGATTTTTTTTTTGCAAGCACACACACAGCAGTGTTTTTATCATCGCTTTGTGCACCTATAGACAATAGCAATTCACAAGGTAAATGGGGTTTAAAAACTGATCACATAATCCTCCTAATGCAGGGCCTGTCCCTGAAAAAAAAATATTTTGAAATTTCTGTCCTATAAAATATATATAATAAATAAATAATATAAAGTAATATGGCTATGTGATCATACTGGCAATGAAAGCAATAATATTTATAAAATCAATATGTGCACAGGGAGATTGATGGAGCATTTAGACAGGTTCTGTGCATAGGTTTTATATCACTTTTAGTCACAGGAAGGGTCATCCGAAGGCAGAGCCGTAGCTAGCTCCTTTTACGCCCGAGGCAAGAACAGAAAATTGTGCCCCCCAACAGATGTGTTATGTCACCCTATGCCACGCACGCACAGCGTCATGTGATGTCATGCGCCCTGCCTCCAGGATGGCGGCACCAAATAGCATAACAAATGTGTTTCATTTGACGAAACGAATGAAAACATTTTTAGTTTCCGTTCATTTAGTCTTTGCACATGTCTAATAGTGTGTGTGTGGTGAGGAGGCGGGTTCTGGGGGCTTCAAGGAAATATCAGGGGTCTAAACAGACTTAACATTTCCCTTTTGAAATAGAAAAAGAGATTGAGGACACAGAGTCCTCTGCCCATGCAGCCGGGAATGCAAGGAGAAGCTGTGTTGGATGTCTGGCGCCGCTGTTGCCAATGGCGCCCTGTGCTCGCCATGGCAACAGGGGTGAGGGGGCGCAGCCAGGCTGGCCCTGGCTACGCCCCCTCTAAGCTGCGCCTGAGGCGAGTGCCTCACTCGCCCCATGGTAGCTACAGCCCTGTCCGAAGGCCTGGAGACTTTAGGCTCTAACTCCTGGTGCATGCTGTACATGTAGATCTATCACATTCAGCCAATGGAGCACAATCACTTCTTAATGGGTCATTCCACCTAAAACTGATAGTTCTGTATAATTAAATATGAAAACGTACACCTATGACCAAATTCTAGTATTATGCAAGGACTGCTGTGACAAAATCTTTTTTTTTTGAAAAATCTTTTTATTCATTTTGCATAGTAAACAATTACATTACATTACAGTAACATTCGGGCACCAACATAGCAGACAAAATCTTTACTTCTAATGCTTCCTTAAATCTTAAATGTCACCAGAAACAGTGAGACTTCTTCAGCAGTAACAGCAGGGGAGCAGAAACTTCATTCAGATAAAGGAAACTGTACCTCCTCCCCGCATCCAGCATCCAGCCCCAAAATCAAGATATTTGTTTTGAGTGGATTGGCTTTTTGTTTTGACTGTGCAGGGACAAGTCAATCTTTGGATCCCTGTTTGATTCGTTCAAATGCAGCTTTGCAAACAGCATGCATAGATTTATGCAATCCATTTGATCAGCAAATTATTTGCAGGGTTATTCACAAAGGGGTGAAGAGTTTGGAGAAGGCAGAAGAAGTGAATAGTTTAGGACAAAATAGCTGATTTCATAAAAATTTCCAGTTCAGCTATGTTATCCTTATTATATGCCTTCTCCAAACGCTTCACCCTTTTGGTAATAGTTCTGTTAATCTCTAAAGTTGAATAGATTATATTCACTTATCATGATATATCTTATTATGTCTTCAATATTCTTGGTTGTGTATGGTTTGATTTGTTGCCATTAGATAATATCAGTGATAGAAATACAGGTCTGATTGTTTCCACAACAAATATCACTCTCCTCTTTTGTGGCTTTACCAGGAGATGCTGAATTATCAGAAGCGGGGTCAGCAACGCCTTTCCCCAGGACTGTATCTGGGTTATCTTAAGCTGTGTAGCTCTGTTGATAAAATCAAAGTTCTCGTCTCCCAGAGGGTTCCCAATATGCTGTGCCATGTCAAGATACGGGACAACAGTAATATTTCCAAGTGAGTAAGTCATACTGATATTATGTAGTGCCTTGAACTGGTAAGAAATAGGTTGAGTTCAATGCTCAATATTTTCATTTAGAAATGAGTACAAACTGTCTGACTTGCAGGCTTACTAGATGGTATTAGTCTTCAGAAAAAATACATGATTACATAATATTCTGATATATTATAATGTTATGTATTAGAACAATTACAGGAGCAGAAATTGATAGTCTACTTCTGAATAGGAAAACTAATGCCCTTGACTGGCATGTTGTGAAAATTCCAATATCGGTTCACAATTTGATAGATTTCGTATTTTTATATGCACTTAGGCTGCCCATAAGCGGTCCAATGTGAACCCCGATTCACAGCTTAATACAATGCTTAGACAAAGATTGTATTGCTTAAAGTAGAACTAAGCCCTCATAAAATTATACTTAGTTTTGTAGAGCGCTGTAAGTAAAATTGGATTGCATTATTTCTTATTTTAGAAATGTCACATTACTTTGATGGGAAGGTGCTCATCCTGTAGACTATTTGTTGGAACTTCCTGTGTACGTGTGCTCCCTCCAGCAAGGGGTGAACATCATAGTTGTACCATGGTGACTACAGCTGAATGTGCCAGCACACTGTGCTTGAAATCCAATTCAGTAGTATGCAGGAAAGTGTGACACGGAGTAAGCATTTGTCAGCCTTGGAAAGGAAGTGTCTGCGGATATACCTTTCTGGTATCATTTAATAGAAGCAGGATGTTTAGAAAATGTTAATTAAGGTTGCAGCAGAAATCTAGAAATGTGCACCTGTGTGCATACTTAGTTTTTAAACCCCGCTGTCAAACGGACAGATTAGTCATAGACTTATAGTCAAGGTAACTGATTCACACCTCTGATGATGTCCTCTGATCATGAAAGGGTTAAAAATCAAAGTGTAGCTGCAGTGTGTCTTTAACTGATTAATTAATGCTGATTTTTTCCATTCATCAGTTGAGTCAGGAAGAGATATGGAAGTGAGCCCAAACAAACACAAATGTAAATTGCCAGGGCAGAAATCATGCTAACATTCTTGGAGAAATATCTTCCTAAACCTAAACTCCAGACTGGTATAGAATACGGAAATAAATGCAGCTCTGTATTCAGTAATACAGCAAGAGGTTTATTTTTTAATTCAATCAGTGTAAGTACCTGAATGTGTCCTGGTATCAGGTAACAGCCTCTTGCAGTCCATTATCAGATCTCAGACTAGCAGAAGGAGAAGCGACTCAAGGAGCCAGTCCATGGACAGGGCTGATATAAGGAGAAATCGAAGTGACATAGAGATGAGCTCATCAGTGCATTGCTTCACTTTTCTTGTCCAGTCACAGCCTGATGGAGGGACAAGACCTGTAAGTGTTACTTAACTGCAGAAGAGAAGAATCAGGTCTCTTGCCCTGCCAGACAGAGTTCTGCTGTGTGTCAGTACTCGATGGTCAAATCATAAATTGTTCGGCAGGTAAAACAGCTTCCATATATGTATTTAAATTGTGTATCTATCTATCTGTTTGCCTGAAGTTCCACTTTGAAGGTAGTTTCTGGTCAGTCCAATATGCAGTAGCAGTTCACTAACTGGATAAAGCAACGTATTTTGCTTTCATTAATTTTAGATAAATAACACATTATTGCCAAGTTCCTGTCATTATTGAAGCTACAATCTATTACACAACCGGCTCTGGGTGTAGACATGTTGCAGCATTTAGGCACGGAGTAACTAAAAACTTTTTTAGGTTCTTGACATCCTAATGTAAGATTGTCAGAGATTTTTAAAGAAGTGCACCAAAACCATTGATCTGTACTGCTTGTTGATCAACAATTGAAGCATGTCTGCTTTGCATCAGTTCAAATGTGGTTGCTTTGACTTGCATATGACAGGTTAGGTGACCCCTTCTTTGGCACTGGAAAGGCAGGAGGCCTTATGATTCATCATGTTCTTACAAAGTATGACAACTACTTATCCTCAGTCACCAAAAAGATCCATAGTTGCCCTGAAAGTCTTAATGTGACTGGTGGCTGCCAGATTAAAAAACACTGCTGATGGCTTTGTATTAATATTTAAGAGATGTGTTGTTTTCTGACTTGCTCATTACTTTCTGGACAGAGATGAATGGGAATGGATTCAAAACCTATCCATGGCTGAGAATCTGGACAGCATGGAGCTCTCCCTGGACGCACATACCCACATGTTACTCTGTGACCTACAGACAGCAGTGAAGGCCCTACTCAAACAGATCAATCTACCTCTTCACCAGGTAAAGGCAAGCTAAACATGAGAATTTACGACAAAACCATCACCTTAGACTAAATTCATGAGCCTGTGTATAGGCAAAAAAAAAAAACATATTCTCTAATACATGCACGTTTTCCCATGTTCGTTCATTTTTAATACTTCAAGTACAGACAAATTCCCGATCGTCCTGCCAGAAATCCATTGAGCCCCTAAATTCCTGTACTCTGACAATGCTGCCTCTACTGCACTGCAGTCCCAAGCACTGTTGCCAGCCAGAGTTCTGCTCTGCTGGGCTATAGAACTCCACCTATCCCCTCACCTCTCTCTCCATTGCACATGCATACAGTGCTCCTGCTTTGACTCTCAAGAGCCTGTCCACACTCTCTATGTGTAGGAAAAGAGCTCTCTGGTGATGTAGTTCAGGGGCATGCCTAGAACAATAGGAATATTGCTACCCCTTCAGGAATATTACAAGACTGGCAATGATGTCACAATGAGTATTCAAAACTGTTACTCGTTACAGGAACAAGATAAAAAAAATACTATGTCATGCTCAGGAGGAAGAGTGGGAGGATTGGGGTTTGAGTCATACCTATACAATTCCATTGCGCATAGTAGGATCTGCCTCCAGATTTTGTTACATCTTTGTACAGTTTATGGTCGTTGAGCTCCTTAATGAGCCAAAATAACCTTATAACATATATTATCTTACATGTCTATACTTTTCACATAACCGCTCTCTGATTTATGAGATGTCTGTTGATTTTATTCTAGAGGACCTATAGTAATATGTTTTCAAAGTCAACTACGTGGAAAAAAAAACATAATATCAACTTTAGGGTGGTCTGCAGTTTCTACCATTGAAATAAGTCTTTAAAACCACTCGGTGCCTTTCACTGCCTCATCCATAATAACTGCCTTTATAGAAGGCAGCATAGAATACAGAAGTAGGACACAAGCTGTGTCCCCAGAGCTCCGTGTGGCTGCATTGTATACATAAAGGTGGCCATTAATCTGTGGACATTTGAGAAGTGTCAGGAATGTCTCCTAGTAAAAACACAAGGCACCCATGTATAAGGGGCATTAGCATAAATAGGAGCTCTGTATGTGGAGAGATTTATCAGAATGAAATATTTTTATTATGGCTCGCAAGGCAGGTTCTGCCATTAGCTGTGATTCACGATGCTCGAGGTCTTAGGCCAAGCAAATTATACTTGTGCGCTATTTACAGCAGATCAGCATAACAGATTGCCGTCCACACTAATTTGCCCCATTTTTTAAAAACACGGTTATTGGGGGAATTGAACACTTGCTCACATCACGTCCAAGACAAATCAATCTTAGCACATACGGGATTTAAAGGATAAAGCTGGCCATACACTTACTGCTTTTTTTTCTAGTTCAGCCTGCAAAAAATGCTTGATTTCCCCATCCACGCTGTTTATCCCCAGCTGAGTCCACCTTGCCGAGCTACTCTATTCAGACAGCGGTGGGTGTGCCACTGTCAGAATAACCAAAGCTGATTGGCTGCAGTCATTGTTTGCCCGAGAATTTGATAAAATCATCTTTTGTTGAATGAAGGAGTGTTGACGCGACCACACGCTGGTCAAACTTAGTCAGCAGGAGTTGGCCAAAATTTTAGCAGTGTATGGCCAGGGCAATTGTAATTTTGCCTAGGAAAAACACTATTTAGCTAGTCCTGGTTCAGAAAAGAAAATCTTTGCTGAGGGATATATCTTGGCTGCCACTGGGGACCTTACCATATGAACAAGCTAGGTGCCTGGGTGTCATGGTGATCCAGTAATGTCAGTACTTTGAGTCATTGTCCAGGAACAAGTATGCAGACCAGGAGTTATGGCTTAACTCTGAACATGCTGCTTGCTTGCTTGCTATGGCTTATCCAGGCAGCTGTAATTTTCAGTAGATGGTCGGTAATAACAGCCCTGGATATTTCTTAGTACTAGTTTCCTTTAAAGCAATCCTCAACACTACTAAAAGCCTTAACTGTAAAACAGAAAGTATATTGTAACCTCTCCTACCATCCGCGCCATCATACAAATACTCCACTGAAGGCTTCTGCCAATGGATCAACATTACAGTCAGACCACTAGCATTTAAAATGGAGAGGCCAACAGTGGCAGCCTCCATAGTCTGAGAGGTTTCCTTTAATGCTAAACTTGGACACTATACGATGGTGTATGAAATGATTGGCCTCAGGCACCAGAGTCCGCTACTGAAGCCCCCTAAACATTAAGTGAAAATCTGGAGATGAGGAAGAGGAGATCTTTTGCACACACCTCCAGGAGAAAGCAACAGTACCTGTGCAAGGATTTCTATTCGCAGAGAAGCTTCACCTGGCGGTGTCTGGCAATGGCTCCTAAACATAGATTTTTTTTTCAATTGGGAGAGTGTCATCAAATGTCTGCAAGCACCTTGAGCCAAGTTATGTTTTCATTGCTCATGCAGTCCAGTGATTCCAGTGCTATAAATTGTTATTGTTACCTGTGGCCAGTGTTTGCAGCATTGTAACCCATGTTTTCTCTATCTGTTCCATCGCAGGCCAAGCACTTCCGTCTGTACACACAGGAGGTGTTGGAGCTGGGTCACAATGTCTCCTTTCTTCTGTTGCTCCCTGCCTCAGACGATGTCTGCAGTGCCCCAGGACAGAGTAATCCGTACACCCCACACTCAGGATTCCTTCACCTCCCCCTTCAGATGTTTGAGCTAGGTACACAAACTTGTTTTCTTGCCTAGATGTATTTTAGTGCTAACCTGTACATTTTGTAATCTTGTGATAACAGCATGCCTTCTGTCCCATCAGTGGCTCAGTGAATTAGTCAGAAGTCTCTGGTTTGTGAGCGTCATGGGCTGCAGACACACCGTTACTATGTGGTCACACACAATCATTGAGTCGCTGGCAGGGGGTACAGCTTCCCTTGAAAAGACAGAGGCTTTGATTAATGTCTTATGAATTGTTGAAGAACTCCAGTCCAATGGAAAATCAGAGTTGTGTTTTAAAATAAGAAATTATGTTCAAGCATAACTTAAAATTCAGCCAAAAGTGCAATGTGCATTTGTATAACCATGTTGTAAATACAGGCAAATGTATTGCAGTCCAAAAAAAGGTTTGATAGTAGATCTGCCCAGGGTGGCTTAAAAAGCAAATGGTTTTCCATGGAAGACCCAACATGTGCCAGCAGAAATGTATAGAGAGAAAGAAAGATAGGGGGATATATACAAACATAATGTGACGTCTTCTGTATGACAGTGGGATGTGCGTTTTTCTTGGATTCAACCTGCTTACCTATAGTATGTTAAGGGAGAGATGTATCTACAGATTGGTTATAATTTTTTTATTGTCTGTTTAAAACATGCCAGTCAATTTGTTTTCTTATTCTAAACATATACTGCGTTATGTACTTAAAGGTTACTTGTCTTGAGAAATAAATCTGTAACTGCTAGGTTCTTAGCTGTTATGCTGATCCTCGTGTTTCACTACTGACATGGAACAAGTTTGCAGACAAAAAGTATGACTTTTCTGATCTGCATAGTTGTCCCAGGTCAGTGACTCAGAATGTATTCTATAACTATATCAAAGGAAAATGCACTGTAAAACATAGTGCACTTATCCAGCTGACGACCCATCCCCTCCCTCTCCGTGAACAGCAGATTACTTTCCAAGTTACGATGTACAGAACTCCACTCTTGTGTGTGCCCTCTTTTCTGTCCGGCTATTATAGTGAAGGAGGAGAAGGACAAGCATAAGAAGAAGTACTGGCAGGCAGAGGTTTGGGAAGCATTACCTTCTCACCACTTCACCACTCTGATGAACTTCCCCCCCTTCCTTTAAAAACTCCATTGCATGCTCACCCACCTACTCCTGCCCTTATAACTCTGCCATCCCCACCCATTCTTGCCCCCCCCTCCTTTACTGCTATACCACATGCTCACCCTTGCTTTCACCACTTCACTCTGCCCCCCTTTATCACCACTTTGCTGAATAACCTCTGCTTTCACCACTAAAATTAACATTCTGCCCCCCACCCCTGCTCTCAAAAATGTTCCCCTGCTCTCACCACTCTCCATCTTCCCTGCTCACCCACCCCTACTATCATTACTGCTTGCCCACTCACCCCTGCTCTTACCACTTTCACTCCACTCCTTCCCCACGAGCCACCAGCTGAATAGCACTGGCTCTCTTGAAATTCCCTGTGCAGGGCTGAGCACCTCACCCCACCTGCACTAGATGAGGCAGAGCTGAGGTTCGCCTCAGCCTCTACGCACAGGCCCGCACAGCACTCACTCATGTGGGTAGGGAGACGTAAACAATAAGCAACCACCTTTCACAAAACCTTTTTTTAGTGAGCGCAGAATGTTTTTCCTGACCCTAACTGCCCCATTCCCACCAACTCCCTCAGCACCATTCCCTCTTCACATTCATCCTAAACATACTTTGATGCCCCTTCACCCGCTACACTTACAAATGATAGTTGGTGGTATCTTTGGCGAAGAATCCCTCACTGCTGGGCCCTATGCAGGACACAACAAAACAAAGTGTTCCTACATCTGCCGCTAGAGGGAGCTGGTCTGCGTGTTCCTCAGTTCATCCTGTACAATTTCTGCAGTCCTGTTCTCCCTTTAGCATGTTTGGTGCAGACTTTCTGCATATAGATTATCCAGGGCTGTCATAAGAAATCATGGTTCCTGGGCCTGGCACAGTAGGACTGTCTGTACCCCCATATCGGTAGCCCTGATTCTACCAGCACCATTTCAAACCCCCAACTCAAGAACACAACCATGCCTGCACCCACCAGCTCCCAAACCTACCGTCACGACTGCAGTTGCCACCACCTCAATCCACCCGCTCTTACCACCACAGATGCCACCATCCCAACCCTTTTTTGGAACAAGCACACTTTTACAAGCTTTTACATTAAACACATTTATACTTCCTTGAGGTAGCTTTTAGTTTATTGTCTCCACTTCACTCACACACATGCTGGAACCAATTTATCTGGATCTGGCAAGTCTACCTGTGCTCTCGACGGTGACGTGCGGTACCACTTGTTTCGGGTGAGGCATTCCCCAGCCTCGCCCCCAGCATGCCCAGTCCCCTATCGCCTGAAGCCCCAGCCCGTCTCCCAAAGCCCCGCCCCCCAAACTGCTACCAAGCTAGTGTAAAGGAGACAGGGAGGAGCCTTCCTGTCCCTCACTTGCTCGTCACTGCTGAGGCATCGAGATCGATGGCCTCAGTGTTTTTTTCTCTTTTTTTGATTGGACAGCTTTGACCAATGGCCATCCACAGAGCTCACGCCTCTAACAAAGAGTAGAGGCTGTGACAGCTGTGGCTTCAATAGTTAGGTTACACAAGCAGTGGGGAAGCCCGCTGCCGTGTAACCTAACTACCTGTCAAAAATAAGGATGACATCTTGAGACGTTGGGAGGGGTGGAGGCACATACTACTGTGAGGAACTCATCAATAAATGCACTAAACGAGTAAGTAACCCAACCAATGAATGCTGTCTGAGCACTGAATTATTCCTTTTATGTTGAGTCATACTTTAGAAATGATCTGTATATTATGGCAAATTTGGATGATCTGTAGATCTGTCTAGAAAGCATCTTTTCCTGTCTAATCACTGTTAACCCATTGACTCGGTACATAGGTCGAATCCAGTGGATTGCTTGTTTGCCTTGTGCCATGTTGGACAGGGAAGAAATATCAGTTCACAGGAGGGAGATAAGGTGACATGCCTGAGGGTGTATGGAGCCAGCCAGGATGGAACCAGGAATTGTAGTCCCCTTGTGATATGTCACACACAGGCTGTCCTGACCTGCCCAGCACTTATAATGTTGCTGCAATAACACGGACTGATATTAACTCTCCCCGAGCCAGCCTGCCAAGGAATAATAGCTTAGCGGATTCTGTTTCTTCATTACACTGAACATAGAAAACTGGGGGCCGTGTAGAACGCTTCCGCTGAAAAGCCCAATCATCTATCATGGCACAGAAGACAAGGAGAGAATTGCTGGCTCCGAAGGACATATTACAGAGCTTGTTTAATAAGTGTGTGATTTGAGGGCAGAATTGCCAGCTCCATTTTTTTCTTTTACAGACAACTGTCCAAAAAATTACAGACAACTCAAAACCTTTATGGGTACATCACCATGACAGCATAAAACTCTCCCTCTATGAATGTATTGCCTAATTTACAGCAGTGAAAAGCTTTAATGATATCCTATACTAGCACGATCCTATTCTATATTCATTTTCAAAGTTATAAAGTGATTTTTAAGGGAATTTAGCTTTCCCAACCAGCTAAATTTCATAACTGACAGATGTAGAGGAGCACCACAAGCTTTCTTCAAATACAAATACATTGATCCTCTTTCAGACACACGATGAGCCCTCCCTGTTGCCAGGTTTGTGCTTAACTTGAAGCTCCCAATGGGCAAAGTACAGGATGACTTTAAAAAGAAACACTGTCATGAAGCTCATGTATGTAAACACTCCCCCAGGAAGAAACCTCAAGTAATCAAAAGGTGCATGTACTAATGGAAATTGTAGTATAGTTGGGTCCATAGGCGTTCGCAGCCTATTGCATTACACACAAAGGTACAAACCCACACTTGTGTGTGTGTGTATTAATAAATATACATAAAGTCTATGCTCCTTATACAAAAGGGAGAAAATTAAGATAAACATTGGGGCTTAACCAATAGCAGTCAACACTTTTGGTTGGTATGTTACAAAGATACATAGTATTTGAGGTTGAATAAAGACACAGGTCCATCAAGTTCAACCTTTGGGTGTCTGTGTGTGTGTGTGTGTGTGTACACGAGTCCCTGTGTGATCTAGTTTTTAAGAGTACCTGTACCCCTGTATGTTCTGGTCTCTGAGGAAAATATCTAAATGAATTTTGAATGATTCAATACCCTCTGCTGATACCACTGCGAGTTCCAAAACGTAACCGCCCTGGGTGTTTGGCAAGAAGGGCTTAAAGAGAACCAATTGGGCTTATGCATCAGTGTGAAAATGTAGTCTTAAAGTAATCATGGGGCCAAGCTATTTATATTTCAGTGTTTATATATTATTTTAAAGCAGTGAATGAGTTTGAAAACATGTCTTCACTAATCTTTGCGGCTGCAGGGAATGTGGAGCAATTCTTCTAATGTAATCAAAGAGCAGATACACTGTGTTTATATTTGAAGGCTGAAAGGCTGCCAAGTCACTGCTGGACCAGAGTGCCTTTATTTATACATTTGAGGAGAAATTGCTCCACAGTGCCTTAAGCTACACAGGTCAGTGAGGACTTGTTTTCAGGCTCGTTTACTGCTTGTTGAGATGATGTAAATATTATCTGGGCATGTGGTTAATCTAAACTAGTACAGTATGCCATTTTGCTCATTAAATTTGTCCCTGAAGTTTGACAGTTGCTGTCCATGAGCTTGAAATGATGCTGATAAAACCTTCCAGCTCCTAAGTAACCATAACATTATCAAACACAGAACCTTGTAGTTGTATACAATCTACTCAATTACGGGGCTTCTGTTATGTGGTACTGTTATGCACAGTCAGGACAGTGTGTTATGTGATACGGTTATGCACACTCAGGACGGTGTGTTACGTGAGGTCAGGCATTTGTCTAGGCAGTAAGATTTTTGTGGACCTCTCTGTGCATTCTTTGTATATCACTGTACATTTGCTTGACAACATCGTGACTGTAC